TGGCAGTAATTTTTTGGTTCCTTGATTAAGCTGTTTACTATTAGCTTGTTTGTCTGCATTTGTAATTCTTTCATTGGGGTATTGTTTACTTTTTGACTGTTGGTCTGGTGTTAATTTTGATGTTCTCTGCTCTTGTGGGTGTTTGCTGGTTGGGATGTGTTGGTATTTTTGTTTCCGTTTTGGCTTTTTGATTGTCTCTTTTGAGTGGTATCTACATTGGTTATCTCTATGTGCCTGTTGATGGTTGATTTGTCTGAATGACAGGCTTCCAGGACGTCCCTAGGGTTTTTGGACTATTGATTTTATACATGTTTTAGTATCCCATATGTGGAAAATGGCAAGAGTAAGACTTTTCTCAACAGTAAAAACGGAAAGCTCCACTTAGAGATAGTCATGGAGAAAATCTATCTATATAGTCACTAAGACTCAGATCAGATTTGATGGTACATATTCAGTCATGACCTATAATATTTAACACATTCAGCACATAGAAGTTTTTTGTTTACAGGAGCATCTAAAAACCAAAATTAAGTTACAATGACACAAAGAATAGGTTTTTTTTATGTCAATGAACAACAATTCTGAAAGATTCAGTTGTGGAGATGAATTAAAAGTGAACTAGAACTTAAAATGCATCATAGTAGTGTTGGAAGAAATGTCCATCTGGGCTCAGTTCCAGGTGGGAAGAAAAATGCTGGAAACATGGAGACTGTGTGGAAAGATGGCTTAATGGTGGACAAGACCATATTGAGGTCCTGGGCAAAAAGAGCACATGGGTGAGAGAGGGAGAGAGATTTATACCATGTGTTGGGTTTTGAATTTGCTTCCTCTTCCTGTGACAAGAAATGTATCCTGATTGATTGTCAGACTCCCATGGGGCCATGCAGGGGTAGCTTGGTTGAATCTTGTTGGGTGATGTAATCTTCCCAGGTGCCATGTGGGGAAGTGAGTAGAGGGCTAATCCTATCATGTCCTGAGGGCATGTCTTAATCCTATCACCCTGGAGCTGAAGGTGGGGGGGCAGGGAGCTGGAGGAAGCTGTTTTGTCTTTAAAAACATGTTTCTTCTTATCCAGGGAAATATAATATTCTGTTTTTTTAAATATTTCTTAGAATATTTCATTCTAGGAGAGGGGTGGGTGCTAACTTCCTACAGTAGACAAGATTATACAATCTACAGAAAAAAGGAGTTTCTTTGGATTGGAATGCATCTGTAATTCATTTTAGTTATTCAACTTCCATACTACACATGTCACCAAAGTGTATCTAGGTGGCTTATTCAATAAAAATACCATATATACATTAAATCCTGCAAACTGAAATTTGTTGACCCAAATTCAAAGTTGCTGTGCAGAACATTTATTTTTCGGACTCAAAGGTAACTTGCATTGGACTATAAATCCAAAATTTACTCCACTCTTTGCAGTTACAGTGTCCCTTTGTGGCCAGCTCCAAGACACTCCTGCTCCAGCTTCTTAATTTAACATAAAGGGTGTGGTTTTCATGGATTTACAGATGTGATTAGGTCAGCTTCAGTTTGAGGTTGATAAAAAGTTTTGTTTGCAGCAAAAAGGGAAGGCTTAAAAGATCCTTATTCAAAATCAAAGGTTGCCTTTCTGAAATCTAAAGAAGAATGGAACAAAATTTAAATGCCAGAACAGCAAATGAAGAAACTATACATTTAGTTTTAATGTTCAAGTTTTTCCTTCTTGGGAATTTAATGAGTGACTATCACTTGGCCCTTTTCCATGCAGAAGGGAGGAACTGAACTTGATATCTGCAGAATTCATGTTTTCTTTAGTCAATCTTTTTGGTTTGGCAGAGCCTTGTTGGCCCAAGTAGCAACAGAGCTAAGGAATTCTAAAGAAGGCAGCATTCAGAAATTATTTTAAGTACTTGGCTAAAGCTACGGGGGCAATGGAGAGAGGGAGAGAGTTGTTAGTAAGAGGGAGAAATGAAATGAGCTCCAAAAAAAGGAGGGGCAAGGGTGGGAAAGGGAGGGCTAAAACAGGAAATGGAGAGGCCCTAGTGCAGGAACAACTACTAAGCTGCAGATGTTTGGCAGCTGCAGACAGAAGTGAGGGGAAAAGAAGAGGGGAGATTTGCTCAGCTGAAGAAGGCACTAGAGGAGACAAGCTGCGGAGGATCTAGTGGTATAACATGCCTCTTCCACCACCCCCTTCTTCACCTCCACCTCCATGTCCAGCATCTAGAGAATCTCTGAGCCTGAATAGGCCCTTCCTACGAAGCCTGCTAGGATGGCTGCGTATAGCACAGCTGCTGTTGGGTGCTGTCTGCTGGATAATTTTAGCGGCACACAAGTATGAAGGAGCAACCTACTTTGCAGTCTTTGCAGCAGTCCTGGTGTGGCTTCTTACCTTGGTTCTTTTTGGGCTCAGTTTATTGGGCCGATGGACTCTGATTCCTGTGCTGGGGACCCACTGGCTCCTAACAAACATTCTGCACGACCTGTTGCTTGGAGTTATTTTCTTCACAGCTGCTGCAAGCATCATAGGCTACAAGGCGAGGAGCATCAACTATTGTACTCTGCCAGGTTATAGCCAGCCCTGCAGTTACACTGCCTACTTAGTTGCTGCTATCTTTGCTGGTAAAACTGCCTTCCTGTACTTGCTCTCTGGACTCTACTGCTTGGTACGGCGTTTCCAGGGGCACCATGATATCATCTGAGAGATGCAAGAAGTTCAAGAAGTAGAAACAGATCTTATTCAAATAGGTGGATAAGCCTAGCATACAATTAGCCTACAGATATCTTGATCCAGGTGCTGTCATCTTCCTGAGGAAAACCTGATGCAGTCCCTATTTTTTTCTGACAGTTGTGAATGCTCTTACCTCCAGATGACTGATCACAGATGGACTCTTAGCATCATGACCCAGAAGCCAAAAATGATGCATCTTAGGAGGAACACCTGGGAACCAGATTGTGGATTAATTTCTCTCTCTCTTTTCTCTTCTTTCATTTTGGCAGGATGATTTTTATGGGTCTGGGAAGTTTTGACCTGATCTGTACTTCCAATATATCTGATTGCTATAGGATTCGGTATTATCATCTTCTGGTATACAATATTGGTTTTATTATTCATGCTATCCTGTTTTGGATCTTAGAAATGAAATTCAGATGTTCAGATTTTATACCCCGTGGGCTTCTTGAGGGGTTTTTGTTTGCTTGTTTTACACAGGAATATTCTGTTTTAAACATATATTTATACATAATTATTTACTGTAAATTTTAAAACTTTTGAATCTACCCGATAGTATTTGTAGCATTATTATTTTAACGTGTTTTTCAGAAAACAGAGAGATAATGGCTCCTGCCATCTGAAACTGCACTCTCTAATTGAAAGAACTGATTTTGATTTCAGATGTATGCTAATTAAATTAAGAAAAGTAGTACACGTTGAATATGCTCAGAAATTATTTTTCTTTATGGGTACAGTATTGTTTAATATATCCCAGAACTAAGCTTTGCTTCCATGAATGAATTCCAATCTTATTGGTTTCAATTCACAAAAGATTTGCTCAAATAAAACCTTCTGTGATCTTGCCCCATAAATGTTGCTGTATTATTTCACTTTGATGACATATCTCAGTCTATATCCTGCATTAAAGTAGCCTTCTCTAAAACTGTTTCCTTCAGAAGTTTGGGGTTCTATTTACCATCTGAAGAGAATTATTTTGTCCAATGTTCTTAAGAGTACCAGATCTGGAATCCCTTTTACAGCAAACCAATCATTATAAATAGGAGGGAATGTTCACAGTGATGGGACAAAAGATGCTGAGTGGAGGCTTCACCTAGAAATGGAAAGAGTTTACTGATAATTAGCTAAAGGTACATTTGGAATTAGGGTGAATTATAAATTTTCTCTAGTTAATGCCTTCTACAGTAAGCCTTAAGTTTATACAGGATACTTGTCAAAAGCAGGTATCTGGAAATAAAGCTTTCCAAATTTACTCCCTGATGCCTCTGTTTTATACAGACTTTCTAAAACTACTGAGAATTTGGATCTCATTAAAGAAGGTATCTAACTAGCAAGGGATAGAGCTATTTTCTAGGTTATAAGTGTGGTGTAACTCCTTGATGATAGGGCACTATAAACTGTAGTTATAATCTGGAAGTATTTGCAATTTATTTTGCATAGAACATTATACTCAGTTTGAGGCAAGTGAAAGTATAATTTTATAGTGCCTGAAAAAGTCTGATTATAAATATAGAAACCAGCCATAGTAGTTTAAGTATCAATACTTCAGAATTGTACAAAAGGAAGAGGGTGGGAAATCATTTCCATAGCAACAAGAATTCTTGAACAGCAACTTACATAATTCAGACAGCCCCTGATAGTATTGAGATCCAGCATGGATTAATTCAGAATTTCATGGAGAAATGGTGGTGCTGGACAATTACATCTTATCAAGTGATTAACCCTGATAGTATTATAGCCTGATACCTATGATCATTCAAATCTTGTAACTAGAATCCAACAAGTTTCATCATATAATATTTCACTATGCTCATGGAAGATCACTGCCTGTCCTAGTTCAGGAAAAGTACTCCTGAAATACAGATTTTCTTGGACACAGAATATTATGCCTTTTTGTCAAACTTCTTGAACAGCTACAAAACTGCCTCTGGCAAATCTCTACAACTATTGTGCTTCTGTAGTGCAAATGGTGGAGCTGCCCCTCCCTTGACAAAATCTTAATTTAGAAAGGAATTTCGTTCTAGCAGTAGCAAATGAGAAGCCAACTTAATAGCCCCTTTACTCAATGATATCCTAAGACTGGCTTTAAGGGTTTCACAATGGCAGATCTGCTTGAACCTCAGCACACCAACCTCATCTAATTTTGATCACATGACCATGGGGATGATGCAACGGATGTAGGCATGAAAACTGGTCATAAATCACTATTTTCAGTGCTGTGTAACTTGAACAGTCACTAAACAAGGTCTATCTGTAACCTAACCTAAGTTCAATACTTTAAACATTATCCTGTACTGTTTTTGTAAAAGAAAAAGTCTACCCAAAGCCAGCTGTTTAGGTGCATCCTTGACCTTGGACAGGCTATTAGTTTCATATAATAGTCTTGCTGTTATGTAGGAATGGAAGGGAAGAAAAGAAGAATGGGACACTACCTGTTTTCACCCAAGGTGAAATTGATTAGCTATTGGGAAAGAACCAAATGCCCATGCCAAGACAATTTAATTAAGAGTTATGGTAGGGCATGATAGCCTGACTGTTCTAGGAGGAGGAAATAAATGTAAGGAAATAAAAACCTTCAGGCATGCTGGCTCTATGCTATGAGCAGCCCAACAGCGGAGGATAGCTGTGCCATCCTACCTACTTGAGATAGGAAGAGCAAGGGGAAGTGTTGCTACTTTTAGCTACTGTTAACATGCTCAACAATGTGTAACATCTGGGAATGGCTATAACATTCATTAAGTTTGGAGCATCTCGTACCACTAGATTATTCTTGAACATAAAACCTGGACAAAGGCTTACTCAGTAGGGGGAGTTGCAAAGCAAGCAGTGTAAAATTGATTAAATATTTAGGGGTATTTGAATAATTTTCCCTTACTTTCCAAAAGTTCCACTTTGGTCTTTAGACAGATTTCTATTTCTGCATCAAATTTTAGATATGTTCTGTCTTGATAAAGATTACATTCCAGATTCTTTCCTTAATTCTGTAATTATCTTGGATTCTGAATAAAATTGTGTATAATAAGCATAATCTGTTTAAAGTGCTGTTTTAAGTACTGTATATATGCATTTTCCTCTCCAAATGCAGTGAGGAAAGAGCAAAGGGGAGAAACATAAGTATGAGAACAAGGAAAATGTAATTTATGGAGAGATGAGGGCAATATGGGTAATAATAGGTAAGAAGCAAATTATTCATCTTTGGCTGTAAAAAAATAGCAATTACAGATTAAATAACTTAGAATTTGCTAAATTCCACATATATTGCCTGAGATTTCTGCCTTACTTACTTAATGCTAGGACTGGCCCTGTGCCTTATTCCTGCAAGATGGGTAGTTCCAGCGACTGGTAAGATATAAAAGAAGAAATCTGATTTGGAGACCACATGAACAATGTACATCTTTCTTTCATGAGCGTAATGATTATGTGATGATTTTTCTGTCTGTGTGCATGATTGTCATCAACTGTTATCTTAAACTCTTAAGTCCTCCTTGCACAAGTTAGTCCTGCAATTAAGTATTAACACCTATAATACTGTCTTCCAGATAGTACTTTATTTTTGAAATAAAAGATGATTGGATGTTACTAATAGATGCCAATGCATAACAGTTGTTTTTTAGAAAGAAAAATGTGTAAATAATTGATATGAATGGAATTTAATATATTGCTTTTGACTCACACTTGATCATAACCAGGAAAGAAAGATCCTTGACATTTATAGTTTTTATTGATTTTGGCCCCAAAGCTGTTCGAAACATCAGACAAAACTGGACAAATGCCATAACAGATTTCACAATCTTCATGTTACTAATTTACTTACAGACGTTGGTTTTTCCTGCCATTACTTTATTTTAAGTCAGCAAGAAACTAACTTAATAGAACATCGCATGTCACAGGTGTACCTGACTGCATTCAGATAACTGGATTGTTGTTGTGGAAAAACAGAAGAAAGGAATATTAGATATTTTGGGCACATTGAATTGTTTATAAAAATAATGAAGATGGGATACAAATTAAATAAATTATTGTTAGATAGATATGAATTTCAATATCTATTACTTTAAACATTCAGGATATTCAGTGCTTTTTTTAAAGGAAAATTTTGGTGCTAAAAACAGTTCTAATTGTAGAAATTAGTTAAGTTGCAGTAAAGTTTGTAGACATTAGTAATGAGGAAAAGCAGAGATGGGAAGTTATTTTATATCATAAATACGTTGGACTATGATATTGGACAGGATCTGCTTTAAATTGGATGAATAATTTGGATGAATACTTTAAGCAGCAAAAGCATAATAATTTGAAGCAAATCCATCATTACTTGCTCAGAATGGTAAGGATCATCAATTACAGCATTGCATATTGATGACCTTTTACTCCTCATTTATGATAGGAACTAGTTAACATGTAACAATGCCAGAATAAAATGGTGGTAGTCCCACTTTGATCAAGCTTTCTGGTGTGTGTAGATCATGGCTAGATGATAACAAAGTGGAATTTACTGTTCAAGCCTTTTTCAGAGCAATGGAAGTGAGATCATTTTCAGGAGCACTAGGGTAATTGATGGGTTACATTTTACTCATGAAAGTGATTATGTTGTAATAACAAGATCAATTGTGATCATTGTGAGTAGATAACACAGGGCAGTCAGAGAATGAGGAAAATATTCAAGCGGGGTGAATACATCCTTCTGAAGAATGTTTTTATGTACCATGACTCATGAGATTTTTTACATTTCTAATTAAAATAATACATTTTAGCTGACTGTTAAATCTTCATATTTTACCACATGAAATTATGCCGAAACAGGCAACTGCAGTCTTATTGATCAGAGTGTGTTTACTATTGCTCTGTGTGTCCCAAAGGTGCTTTTCAAAAGGCAACTGGACTTTCTTAGCTTTTTTCTTGAAAACATTTAGCTTCTCATCCAAGAAGCTTCTTCAATTCATTTCAGGCTCCAACTAAAGAAGCTTCTTGGATGAGAAGCAAAAAGTTTTCAAAAAAAACCCCTAAAAGTCCAGTTGCCTTTTGAAAAGCACATTTGGGACACCATGACCAAAATGATTGAGATTATGCTTTGTGTACACACTCATGGGAGTATTCTATAATGAGAGCATTCCAAAATGTATCACCATGTCATTGTAAGGCAGCCATAATTATTCAAGTTTCAGATCTTCCATCAGAGTATTATTTTTATCCTGCAACAACCTGTCCAAACCATTATTTTTGATCAGTAGACAAGCCCAGACAGTGAAGGGAGGAATGAGACTCAGACTGCAACACTTCCTGACAATCAGTGGGAAGTGAACTTCTATGGGCAGAGTGAAGGATTCAAGCAGGAAAACCATGCATGAAAGACCATCAAAGCTAAAAGAATTGGGGGTTTTTTGCACAAGAGCTTTTATGCAAGGAAAAAAGGAATTAACTAAAACCATGGAATACCTCAGTGGAAGGGAACACGACAGGAAGAAAGTACTTGAGCCATTATGAGGAAATGCTGAAACTCATTGCAGGACACACAGGTTATTTTTCAGGGTTCTCTCAGCAACCATAACACTATATAGTAAAGTAGGGGACAGCAAAACTTGAAAATTCATAGGCTACCTCTCATATAGCAATATTGCCCCCAAGAATCCGGGTCCTCATTTTACCCACCTCGGAAGGATGGAAGGCTGAGTCAACCTTGAGCCTGGTGGGATTTGAACTGCCAAACTCTAGGCAGCTGGATGCAGAAGTAGCTTGCAGTACTGCACTCTAACCACTGCGCCACAGAGGCTCATATACAGTAAATAACAATGCCTTACTAAATGTAAATGATTAGGACATAATATGTTAAGATCCTATAGCCAGAAAAAGAGACTAATTCTGAATTAATCCATGATAGGATAAAGATCTCTGCATTGAACATTACTGATCAAAATCTATCATGCTGACCCCCTCTGAGTTGATAAATGTTTATCAACTTTCCAGTTGAGGACCTAAATCTAGTCACCTAGCTTGCTTCTAATTTAGGTGGCCTAATTTACTGCAGATAAATAACTGGTACCGGTAAAGAAAATAATTGTGCAATTAGGGCTCAGGGGGCTATAAAGATCATCTAGGGCCTAGAGCTAAGCCAATCCTTAAGAGTCAATACAATACAGACATTGACCTCACAGCATTTTTAATAGATGGATTACCAGCAAGGGACAGGTCACCATCCAAAGCAGTCTGTTAAAAAACTCATGTTAATTCTTCTTCCTTTTGACCCCCTACAGTTTACCAATGTTCTTCTGAAAATACAATACTCAGAACTGTATGATCTATTCCAGGTACAGTCTGATTAATGCAAAAAAGAGGAACAATGGCATCTTTTCATCTGGTTTCTTTATAGTATATTGATGTAGGCTAAGATTAAATTTGGCATTTATTTTGCAGCTCTACTACACTACTGGTTCATATTCATCTTGTGATCCCAAACCTTTCTGATGTACTGCTGCCTAATATGCTTCTTTTATTCTATAATTGTGTCTTTGATTTTTTTATCCCATATGCAGGATTTTGCATTTGTCCCTTGAAATTAGATGTGCCATTCATTGTCTAGAGGCTGCTTTCTATCCATTGTTAGTTTTCAAAAATTATTCTGAACTAGTCTGAATTAGTCTTTTGAGCTATTTGCTTTCTCACTTATCTTAGTATCTTCTGTAAATTTGATACTTGTATTTTCTAATTCCCTGTGCAAGTCATTTTTTAGCATGTTGAATAGCTCAGGACCTAAAACAGAAATTTGTCAGAATAAATTCAGGCCTAGCCTTTTTGAAATGTTTCCTTCTAATGCCTCACCTGGGGTGGGCTGCCTGTCCTTATACAAACTGAACTCATACCTTTCCTAACAGTCTTTTACTTAGGTGACTTCCATGGGATCTAGAAGTAGTACAGCTCTCCAGATTCTGATATCTCAATATGCAATACCATTGCCATAGTTTCTGGTAACCTGCAAGGTGGGGAGCTGGAGGCAGCGTTGTACAGTGATTTTGTTCCTTCCAAAGCAGGCTAAAATAATTAACGGAAGAGTAATTTAATATGTCACTGCTCTCCTATGGAGTGCCACAGGGTTTGTATTCTGTTCTATTTTATTTAACATTTATATGAAACTCAGGGAAAGGAAATCTACTGATTTGGAATTAATATATGCTGATATTACTCAACTCCGTGTCTCTACTGTAACTGGGCAGAAAATACTATGTACATTCTAAACTTAGAAGTTGTATACATTTGGATGGGATAGAACAGACTGAAATGGAATATACCAAGACAGAATGGTTATTTGTTTGGACATTAAGTGATTCTCTGGCAGCTTGTGCCAACTCTGGATGTAGTTGTAGTCTCCTGAAAAAGTAAGCTCAAGAGGCCAGAACTTGCTAGAGGGTAGGGGCTTTGCCCAGCTTTGACTGTAAATTGTATCTCTAGCTAGAGCAGATAGTCTTATTGACAGTCACTCACATCCTTATTGTTGGAATGAGTACTTGGGGATTAAAAGCATCTGCATGGATTGCTTTTTAACCCTCGTATGTTTAATTTTATATTGTTATTTACAATGGTAAATGTAATAAGTTTCATCTGGATGTCAGCCAACCAGAGTTTCAGGAGCTGGGAGGATATAAATTTTAATAATGATTGGTATTAATTGTGCCTGGTCCAAGTACTGAAATATTTAAAATGTTGAAATCTATAAAATCTATTTCTATTTGTGTCATTTATACATATGAATTGACTCAAATTGTATATGTGACAGTCTGGGATAAGTAAAGAAAGGGTTTGAGGCAGTTTATCTGTATAAGAAGTTTCTGTGGGTCTTATCTCAGAGCTGTAGAGTTATTTTTATAATTGCAAATGTTTGTCTATATTTTTTGACATTTTGGTTCCTCCAGTAAACTTTTCATTATGGATTTTAAATGTTTTTTTAATAAAAAAAACAATTACTGAGAGGAAACAGCTGTTCTTCCTATCTTTTCAATCCTTGGTGGCAAGGTTTAAAGTCTGTTTTCTACCATCACCTGGTGGCATTCTTGTGAATGCTAAGTTTTATTGTTGACTACAGTATAAACAGCATGTTGGGTACCTATTATCTGCCAGCACACAAAACCAAACTGTGACACGAGGTCAACAGACACCAGTGATCAGGTTCACAAAACCTGAGAGTAAAACAGCCAAAGCCCTACCTTATGGTTTACAAACACAATGGCTTAATTCATATAGCTAGCAGCTAGACGATAGACCAGAGGTCTCTAAACTTGGCAATTTTAAGACTTCAACTTGCAGAATTCCTCAGCCTGCACATTATGTTGAAATTAATATTTTCAGAGCCTGGTGTTATGCCACAAAAGTTACTATTTCTGTTATTATCCAAACATCCAATCATTTGTTACTTGGCAACAGCCTTTCCTTATAACATTGTAGAAATTTCACTTAACATGCCAACAATTTTATTACAATTTTCTAATTAAAGATTACTATGAGCATTATCTTAACTTCTTTTGAAACACAAATACAATACACTAATATGTAATCAATAAATAATCCCTTTTCCATGATGGGTCTTTAAATCTGTGGCAAACAATGCAAATGTAGTTGTGCATTATAATATAAAAAAATGTGTCTACAGGTGCAGCTCTTTATTTTATTTTGCAGTTCACTAAAATAAACACTGCATTTAGGAAGCATTTCTATTATAGCAAGTTGTATGAACAGAATTGCAGAGGTTTTTTGTATAAAGAAAAACAAATTTAAAAGTATCACTATACTGTTCAGAGAATTTTTGACTTTATGTGCCAAAAGTTGTTTTTAGCTCCTAGTGACCACATAGATTTTTTTCCATGATGATCTATCCTTGTTTTTTCAAGTCTCTCACTGGTACATTCATTGCCAGAGTAAGTCCTTGCTGCTGGTTGTCCTTTTTCCATCTTTCCGTAGAGTCTTTTCCAGAGAATCTGGGTCTTTGCATAATATGTCTGAAGTAAGATAAATAGAGCTGGTCATTTGTGTCTTGAGAGGGAACTCTGGGCTGATCTGGTGTTCCTTCTTGGCTGCCAATAATATTTTTAGGAGTCTTTTCCAATATTGATGTTCAAATGGATTAATACTTTTCCAATAAACCCTCAAGTGACCTCAAGAACTCTGAGTGTGCTAACTACCAGATTACTGCAAAGAAATATGATCCTTTCAACCCTCCCCACCCCATCCTGTCAGAACTAATCCTTTCCATCATCCCACCATCCTGCCAGAACCAATGAAGCTTCTTGGATGAGAAGTGAAACATCTTCCTCAAGGAAAAAACAGTCCACATCACAGTATGAAAGTCTTTTCCAAGATCTTTACAGTTGCTCTGCTGAGTGCTAGACTGCAGCATATTTCTTGATTGCTTGTTCTTTTACTGTTGATAGTAAAAGCCAGAACTACTTGGATATTTTCATTGTCAACTCTAATTTCAATTCTAATTGAATTCTAATAACCTTGACCACAGGACTTGTTAAAAAAAGTTTTGCCTAGATGACTGTAGCTCGCATTAATTCATTATCTTATGCAGGGAGCATAAATGGAGTAATCCAAATGTCTTTTCTTTTAATCTTTTCTTTCATTCCATCCGGAGGTGCGTCCAACACCCCGCCCATAAGTGGCAGAAAACCCAGGCACTCTGATGACAGCCTGGTTACTTAAAACCGTTTTTGTGGTTTACTTCTCTTCCTGCACTGCCCACTCGACCCAAAATACTTGCGCAAGTTCAACGAGCAACGAAATGTGGGAGGCGGTTCCTCTCCTGCAGCTAAAGCCACCGTCGCCGTCGTTTCCTACCTTACTCCCCCTTTTGTTCTTGTTATTCTTTCTGGAGAAGCTCTTGGGAATCAGGACTGCTTTCTGGTTTGTCAGAAAGGGCCTGAATTCCTTTCCCAAAATACCAACTGCCCTTTTATCTTCTATAAGGATAAAACTTACGGTTGATAATTTTGTGTCTTTCCCCAAATCGGGACGTTGCTGGTCCCAAACAAGCAAAGCACATTCTGGTTTACCTACATTGTTTGTGACTTTAGTCATAACAGGAAAGGCTTGTGTTTCCCTTAGTATGAGATAATTTGAAAAATATTTGAACAAATTTGCTTAACGCGTAATAAGTTTTAAGTTTTCAACAACCTCATCATGAAATCAATCTTGACGATTGCAGGAACCCTGACTGGAAATGCTCTGGTAATTTCCAGTATGCAACCTTACAGTTACGTTACTCTTCTGTGACTGGAGCTTTTCAGCTAAGACGCCCCCTTGACCAACGGCTAACTTTAGCACAGGGCGCAGAGGCAAACAGCCGGAGCATGCACAGGCCGCAGCCAATTCCCGGAACTCTAGCCTCAGCTTGCCAGTACCGCAAGCAAGAAATCCAACTCCTATAGGCTGAGGGCCAGAGGCTTTTAACCAATAGGAGGTGAGCCTTTCCGGGGAGACCATCCGCTGGTGTGACCCTTCACGCCCTTCGGATTGTGTCGCTGTCTCTGATTGGCTTGCTGAGCTTGATAGGCGGATAGGGCCTCCGCTTTCCCGAAGCTTTATACTGAGAAGTGAAGCTTAGGCACAGCCGGATCTCTCTTGCGAGGAAGTGGGGGCGGCCACGGGAGGGTCGAGCTGAACCGAGCCGCTGGGAAAGCTCCGCCCCTTCTCCTGATTTGAGATTGGGGGTGAGTGTGGAGCGGAGCAGGATCGAGGTGAGGCTTTGGTATCTGGTAGGTCTCCATGATCTGGTCCAGGGAATCGGTGTCTTCCTTCCCCCATGAAGCAAACTTCTCCAACCTTGAACCCTCTAGATGCCATGAATTCCTATAGTTCTCGCCAGCGCGGCAAGGACGTGTTGGATGCGGTGCTGGCAGTTTTAATTCAGTGCATATGGACAGCGCCAGGTGGGAAAATATGCAACGTGGGGACGTTTGCTTCGTCGGATCGGCGTGCTTGGTTTCAGAGCTCTATAAGATTGAAGTTGTGGGTTCTGTGGTTTCCTTCCTGAAAGGATGCCGGTGAAGGGGAAATGCGGTTGATAAGGCTTGCAGGCTCTGGATCTCTTTGTATCTGGTAGTTATTAATCACAGATCTCTTCATCTATGACTAAATTGAAAACTTGCTTCATTTCTGGAAAAGGATTTAGGGTCCTTTTGTTATGTATATTGAGATAATGAAAGATGTCATGAGGTTTTTGTGTGTGTCTGTTTTGATGCAATTTGTTCAGGTAATAGAATTGCCCAGTTAGACTATAATGCAGAATGTGATTTGGTCTTTTTTTTCTACCACAGATGCACCTCTCAACTTTCGATAAAGGGTATAGGTTAAGGAATTGTTAGCTCTTGTCAGCATATTGGTTGAATACACGGGTTATTTTCCTTCCAGCTTTCCCCTCTGTGTAATCAATATTTATGAAGAGAAATTTTGTTCATAAAGAAATGATAATTGGGGTAAATTAATAAATGTAAATATAATGATTTTATGCATTTATTTTTGTTTGCAATGCACTTTCCATTAGATTTTCATGCAACTTCTTCATGCAAACTCAATTTGTTCATTATTGTCTGAATTGGAAATATAATTTTCTGTAGCCTTAGAAGTATGCAGCCCATGGATAAATGGCAATTTATGTTTCACTTCAGTGGGACAGAAGTGAAATGTGTTGCTAGTTTATTTTGTTGTTTGCTTATTAATTTTTGTATTTACAACTTCCACTATTTAACAAGCTTTGAATTTTAGGTTTTAATAAATGTTATGTTTCAAAACAGTGTTATTTCAGAAATGATTAACTTTGTTCCCCTTAATTTTACCTTCAGGGAAATAAATAAAAAATTAAGTTAAATCACAAATGCATATTTACAGTATGCAGGTATCAGATCGTGATGGTGGAGTGTCCACAGGGAATGGATTAGACGCTGCCACAGCATCTGATGCCCAGCAAGTTTCGCCCTCTCACCCTAAGCCTCCTTCCTTGGACCTCTTTAATCTGGTGGTATCCTATAAGCAACTAGAGCTGTACCTGGAACCACTGCAGGATGTTGCTGAAGGAGTGTGGTTCCTCCTCAGGTTAGTGCTTTTATATATAGCTACTTTTTCAGGTCATAGTTCAACAGAAACTTTGCCTGTTGTCATAATAAATTCTTTTTATAAGACTTGCCTTTTCTAGTGGGAAAAAGAGAAAGCTTTTTTGGTCTAAATGTTTAAATCAAAGGATGTACAACTTCTTATGGTCATTTTGTCCTATTGTTTTGGTGTTCATTTTATTTTAAGACCATAGAAAGAAGCTTTGTTAGACCATAGAAAGGCTTATCTAACTTAGCATTCTTTCCCATACTAGACTTCTATGCAAATACACTTCTTTAGGATCATAATTGCTGTGATTCTGAGATTGCATGCAACTCCTTTTCTTAGCTCTTAGGATCCTTTTCACATTGCTTTTAAGCTATGATGAAACATCAACTCCTGCCCTACTGATGCTGGAAATAGAATGGATTTTTAACAATAAGGTGTTATGTAGGCTTCACATGTACTTTAAAAAAGAATTTTGGATTGATTCAAATCCCAGGAAAAAAAATGATACTAGATCCTTTCTAATTCTTTATGCAGCCTCCTTTATTCACTTTTCCTCAGTGGCCTTCCTAATTAATAACTAATAAATAGCATCCTTTTGAGATTGTAAATGTTTGATTGCTTCTCCACAGCTGGCAGATGCCCTTCTGCTCTCTCCTTACTTGTTTGGGTGTCAACTTTCTGCTGCTTACTCTGAGTGAAGGTGAGAAGTGTTGGACGGATATGCTGGGCAATTCTAGGGCCTGCTTTCCCATAAATCATGAGATGTGATTGAATTAATGGGAGGACAGTAGAATATGATTTTGTTCAGGACTAGCAGGAGCTTGTCATCATGTAAGGTGGGAAAATCGCACTGACAGCTGGTACTGAAACTTCCTTTGATGAGGCCGTATGTTAGGGGGACAATAAAACCACTGCTGATTAGATAAGCTGTGGGTGGCTTAATAAACTCTGCATCTATTCTATCTTGCATTGTAGCTGCTTGGTATGGGCTGTGTGCCCTGCTCATCTCAGTGCCTGCCATGCTCGGCTATCTACAGGAAACATGCCACATCCGTCTTACTGAAGAGCAGCTGGCACGCCGTAGGTATCACAGTGTGCGGAGAGAAGATGTGAGAAAAGTTCAACTTTCTCGAAATGAGGCTGTGGCTGAAGTTAAGGGCTTGTAAGTCTGGGAGAGATGGGGTTGGGCATTGTTTGAGCATGGAATTGAAGGGTTGCTGCTTGATATATGCTGAGCTAATAAGGCTGGAGAGGGGAGTGTTTTGTACTGGCTTGAGCTTCTTATTAGGAAATCCTATAGGCCGGAGCTGTCAAACTCGTGGCCCACGTGCTGGATGTGTCATGCATTGGCCACACCCATGCCTGGTTTAGCGAAGGGGGAAAAAGTCCCGATACGTCACATGACTCTGCCGTGATGACGTGAGTTTGACACCCCTGCTATAGGCTGAGTCCACTATAGTAACTTTTTAATTTTTTAAATGTTTTTTGAGGAGTTGCGAATCTAGAAGGTTGTACATTGGGCCTATTTGTGGCAGTGCAACCTCATCTAGTACCAAATATGGCAAAATCGTAGAATCGGAAGGCCCCCAAGTCACTCAGTCTTGCCAGGGTTTAGTCAGAGCCTGTTTTTCCCCATCCAGGCCCCACAGGATAAGGTATCAACAACATCACTTAATTCATCATCATGGGCAGAGATGTATAACGGGGCATCATCAACATACTGAAGATGCTTCGCCATTTGCTGATAGAGATTTCACTCAACAGCTTCATGTAGAAGTTAAATAGGCCACTGAAACGCACAGCATCACACGAGGAAGTTGAGATCACTCATTTCCAATCAACATGACTGGAAGCAACCCTGAAGAAAGGAGGAGGACCACCAAAATACAATGTTGCCCATTCCCAATTCCTGGAGGGTATCTAGAAGGATACCATATATTGAAAGTCACTGATGGGTCAAGTACAGTAAGGACAGATGCACAACCCAATTTCACCAGAGATTATCTAAAAGTGTGACTAATACCGTCTCCATCCCGTGTTCAGGCCTGCACCCTTACTGAAAGGGATGTGGACAATCCCTTCATCCAGGCTCCTCTAAAGTGACTTCATGACTGCCTTTACCACTTTTCCTCAAAAGGGGAACTTAGATATTCAACAAACACTAGTGGGATCCAGTGATGGCTTTTTGAGGAGAGGGTGAACCAGCACTTCCTGAAGAGGTGGAGGAACAGCCTTCTCACTCAAGGAAAAATTAACCACATTATGAACCGCCCTATATGTGTATGTTTGTATTTATTGCAGGGTGGAGAAGACACATTGGTGTTCCACCCTCCAATCTATCCCTTCTTCCAATAAATTCACTCTTTTAATGGCACAATTTAGAGGCCAACCGTTGCATTTGCATTACATTTGAGAGGTTACTGACGGATTGGCTGGCTGGTTTATATGCTATTCAAGGCTTCCAAGTTCCAAGAGTTTGGGAAGGGACTGCTTGTGTTTGAAGAAAACTAATATGACATCACAAATGCCACATGACTTGCCGTTGATCCCACACTTCACTGTTTGTGATATGATGTAAACAAGAGTTGTGCAATATTGAATGTAACCCAATAGTGATGCACGTGTGGAGAATTTCTCTCTTAAGAAACATTGGACGATCATTACATGTTTACTTGCACTGCTGCTCTGAGGATTCCCCCCATAGATTAGCATTACATCATTTCACCCACTGGGGATATCATATATCATTACTTTGACTCTGTAACTCTATACAGGATGGAGAGTTTTCGGGAATATAAGTGATTTCATTGTCCACTTCACAAAAGCATGAAATGATAGTCTAGAATAGTGGATTGATTTCAGTTACTAAAGAAGAAGACACATTTTTAAATCATTGATTTAATAAACTTTTTGATATGTTTAGAATATACAGCAGTTACTATAGCTTTAGCATATTGATTGACTTTCATATGATTGCATAGTGCTGTGAAATCAGTAAAAATGCATTTTTAAGTACTTTGCATGGAATACTTTATTTATGCACATTTCTTCTCTAAATACCAACTGCCCTTTTACCTTCTATAATGATAAAACTTATGTTTGATAATTTTGTGTGTTTCTTTGAATAGAGCGGCTTTAAGTGCATGTTTTAGTCATATTGCATATGCTTATTTACAAGTATCTGAATGGTTTACATTTGGGTAGGCATGGGCAGAATGAAATTGTTGGCCCCAAAGAGGTTCTGCAAAGTTGCTTGCCATTGTTACCTCTAAGGAATTTCTGCTTACGGCAGATGCTTGTTCAGGATTGCCCAATAAAGTGTCATGGTTCAGCAGGGATTCAGCAATCCGGCTCTCCCATATTTGGAATACATCACATGTTGTAATGGATCATGCTGACTCTCATCTAGTCTGGGAAACTGATACAATTGCTTTTTGCCTCCATCTCTGCCTGCCAATCTAGGGTTAGCTGGCTTAAGAAGCTCCTGCAGGTCTCCCCCAACTCATGATGGGTGAGCTTAGCATGTCATAATTGATATTTTACTCACCCAATTACTAATCCAGTGTTACAAATTTGGACAAAAGTTCTGAACACATAAATAATCTGCAACTTTCTGCATCCGGTTTTCACTGGCATGTGCAATATATTCATCCCCATCCAGCAGATCACAAGATAAAGTCTTGTGACAGCACATTTTTCTATCCTGTTACAATACATGCCTTGTTTCATAGCATCTGGCATTGAAGCATGTACAGAAGTAGGAGAAATATGATACCTCGGCATGCTAAATGCACATGTGGCAAAAGAATGTATTAACTTATCCCATCTTGATTTGAGTTACAAAAGTATTATTTTTTTCTGGAATGCTTGGAACTTGTGCTTTAAAAAAAATAAAAAATTGTTAGAGCTGATTAAATTTAAATTTTGGTGGCAGCATTAATCCTAGCTTCTTCTATGTGTGGACAAGGGGTTTGCTTTCTGAGTGTTACTGATTTCTAGGATTACCCTGGAATAAATAAAGGGCTGGGGAAAGTTTTATTTGTGAGGTTAGGTTGTTGAAGTCTCTATGTTGCAGTTACTGACTACAGTCACTGTTTGTCTGTGAGCTAGACACCACAGTTATATTTAATTTCTTTGTCTTGTCTTTTCAGCCTGATCCGATTAGAAGTGCTCCTGAACAGGCTGTGTGGTGGCTGTGAGGCAGCTTACCGTGTCTTGTTCTGGGAGAACCCTACTGTCTCCTCCCAGTAAGTATTGGCTTAGGACAATGGTGGGCAACCCTTCCAGCTCAGAACAAGCTGTACATTTGTTTGCTTTTGCTTCCTCCCTGAGATAAGTTGTTTTAAGCTGTTTTTCCTTGAGTCTTTTTTTCCTCAGTCTAAATACATCATCTTGAAGTTCATCACCAAATTGTGTTTAGCGGTTGAAGCATTGGGGAAGGAAAGTCTGGGAGTTCTTCATGAAAATTGATACGTCCCTGCTGGTCTTGCTTTTCTTAGAAGTTGAATATAGACTCAGGCAAATCAGAATGTGCATATGATTAGGTATAATTGGATAGAACCTTTCATTTCATTGGAATATAACACATTGTTTGCCTGCTGAGGCCTGCAAGGCTGTTAAGTGTAATTATGGGACAATGGGCCAGGACTATAAAGAAAAAGAGGCAGTGTTTCAAGAACATAGCTTACTTCCAGGAAAGTTACTTCTGCTTTTCTGGAGCTCTGCTTACCGGCCAGAATCTTTTCCTAGCTTTTTGGCACTCTCTGGTATTCAAAATATTCTCAAATATATAACTTCAACTATTCCCTTCCATCTCAGAAATTAGGGGTTTTTTATATTCTTTGTACATGCACATAAAAATAGTAACATTTTAAAAAGTGATACAGCTGTCTAATTAATAAGCAACTCCCTATATTGGCAGTTGATGGTAATAATTTAAAAATCAAGTTCATTTACGCAAAAAGGCTCAAAAGCAAATTACAAATATGATCTAAATTTGACATTACATAAAACAATTTAACAAATAAAATATTTAATATTAATGAAGGTAATCCTTGACTTATAATTGTTTAATGCATTTGGAGTTATGAAAGCTTGGTTTATAATTAATAAAGTACTTCCAGTCATCATAAAATGTCAAATTGCCCCCCTCAAGGTCATATGATCGCATTTCATGTGCTTGGCAACTGGCTCACATTTATAACTGCAGATCCTTTGGTCACATAGCTGTGATTTATAATGTTTTTTTGCCAGTTCCCACCGTTTTCTACTAATTTCCTGTAAAAAAATACTTATCGGGGGAATGGATTTGGACTTAATGACCATGTGATTTGCTTAACATCTATCATAAAAATGGTTGTAAAATCAGATTTGTTCATGTGGTTGTCTATTTCATGGTTTATGACCAAAATTCTAGTCCTGATTGTGGTGGTAAGTCAACACAATTAAAAAAATAAAACACACACACAAATATGTCTAACCTTGTTTTTAAAGCCATAGTTAAAAATCTGGCCATTTCACTCAACTCAGCCACATACAAATTTCCTTTGCCTATGTTTATTTCATTAGACATAAAATATATGTAAATTTACCGACATTTCTGAAATCAAGAGTGAGAAAAAAACAACACAAGAGAGGGAAAGTGACTCCAAAAATGCACGATCATTTTACACTTGAACAATATTGTTAAAAGAAATTAGATTTTAAAAAGTTTTATTAGTATGCTAATTCAAAGGAAAGGGAAAGTTAGGTCTGTGGAACTAGTATATCCCCTGGATGCAGCAAGATCAGGGAAAACAGATGAAAGCAGTGCAGAGAAGTATTTGTAAAGGAGGAAGGAACCAGCTTGACACCACACAGTGAAGCCAATGTTTTCATTTTCCCTGGGAAGTTGTATTTGAGTTAAGGAGTTTTTAACTTGCCTCCCCCCTCTGTCCCCCACTTCTCAGTTACTGGTATCTCAGTGTCATCCTGTTGTGCAGGTATGTTATGTGTCTTCTGCTCCATTTTTGTCCTCTACTCCTAGGTTTTATGGGATGCTGATGGGTTCAGTTTGTGCCGTTTACCTGCTGCCCCTCTGCTGGATCTTTGTTCTTCTTAATAGTACCCTTTTCTTGGGCAATGTGGCATTTTATCAAGGTAAGTTATCAAACAATTATAACATGCTTTCTATAAGGCAGCCTTTGACTTGAAAGCTTCATCTAGACCACGGGTGTCAAACTTGCAACGTCATGTTGCGGTCACGTGATGTTTCACAATGTTTTTTCCCTTTGCAGAGCTGGGGTGGGCATGGCTACCAGCTTGATGCTTGACGCATCTGGCCCAAGGGTCACCAGTTTGATACCCCTGATCTAGACCAAAGTGCAGCTGTTTGTCAGCTAACTGGACACAGTTGATTTAACAGCATAACACCTGTATTGGATCGCGGACTGGCTGCCAGTTGGTGTCCAAGTAGTGGCTGCTATCTTTGAAAAGCCACCTGGTTTAGCCCCCAGGTTCGTTTAAGAGAAGGATACTAAGAATTCTCATCCCATGCCTTTTAGAATATTTTGCCCCCTACGAAATGGCCCTGTCAGCCCCTCATAGTAGACCAAATTAGGTGGCCAGTGTCACGTAGCTCAATGCTACTTCATTATAAAGCTATAGCAACAGAATTTTGCAAGTCTGGATCTGCTCTCTTCCCTCCTGCTTCCCTTTTTTTATGAGAACTGATGGGGGAGGAGCTTTCTGAGATGTTTACTCATGTTACTTTTATGGCTCTGGACTCACAATATTAATTGATTGTTGCCTTGATGGTGGTTCTTTCGCCAGTCCCTCAAAGCTATTTCCTAAAATTCAACCTGGTCCTGAGCTTCTCTACTCAGATTATTATTGAGGATTTTAAATTGTATTTTCATTACATAGCACCAAGTCCTTTAGGAAATGGGTTATCTGTAAATGATTGTATAATTAAAATGTAAACAAATCATTTCACCTGTGAACTTCTCTATTGCATTGAGACTTTGGTAAAGAAAATTGGAGAAAATGGTTTTCAAGGTTGAGGCCTTTTTTGCTAGACACTTGTGTGAGGAAAGGAATCAATTTTATCATATTCTGTGCTGACTCTTAATGTAAGTGGGACTAATAAAACATTTTAGGTCAGGGAACAAGTGGAGAGAGAGCAAGGATAATTTTCCTTTTTTTGCTTCCTCAGTCCCATGTTACATCCATATCAACTAGGTGGCAATGCCATTTCCTGCAATGTAACTCTGATAATGCTGGAAGCCTCATCGTTGCAAGACCTTCTACTTGAAGGAGCTCAGTTTGCAGTTTCTTGTGGAACACGCTGGCAGAGAACAAGGAGTAGGATAAATAAGCCTTTGAATCTTAATAAAATGGAAGTGCAATTATCTGCAGATATTTAATATACCTATGAAATACACTATACACCTGGCTAATTTTATGGAGGAAAACCTCTTCAGAACTTAGCTATTTCATTGAAACCCACCTCTAATTGCTTGCCATGTCCTCCTACTGGTTTTTTTCACTTCTCAGAATCATTGCTGATTGCTACAGTAATGCTGCACTCAGATTTGGAGCCTGTTTTTTTTTTTTTTGACATTTGCTTGGGAAGGGGGCAATTTATTGTATCCTTCACACAGTTGAAAATTGAGACTTATGATAGATTTCCTCAAATTTCAGCAATGTGTGGCTTGTGTACCTTTTCAGTGATGAGGCCACTAAGGATGTATCCATCTTCAGAAAGAAAGCCCTGTGGTGAGGGTTGTATTGAGAAAGTGATGCTGTCTCAGTATTCCAGTTGCATTTCCTTGATAGAGTAGATTAGATTTTCAGGAGAAAATATACTGTAGAGATCCATTTTTGGTGTGTAATCGACTGAAAGCCCTGTTGCATACTTTGTCAAATATAAAATTTAGGGAAGCTAACCCTCTCCTCCCAGAAATATTTGGTTCCTCACTTTACAAAGCAGGCAGAGTTCTTAGGCCAATTTCCTGAGGTGAATTGTCCATCAAAAATCTGGGGAAATTAACTTAGACCTCTTATTAGTGGGTAGCAGGAGATTAGTATGGAGGAAAATAAACCTTGACTGAATGGCATTACGGTGTTCAGGGTTTGTGTTGGAAGTGCATTCTGGAAAATTCATTCATAGCCGTATTTGGTTCTTCTGGTTTATTATTATTTTTCTATGTGGTGGCAGGCAGTGTAATGGTCAGTAAATGGTCTCTTTCCAGTGATGCTAGACCTAAAGTCAGCTGTAGAGCAGCGCTTAGGTTTCAAATCCATCCCTGTGGCTCCAGAGCCTGAAGAGCTGGATCCTGGAGAAGTGGAAGCTACTGTCTTGCCAGATTGGACACCTACCCTGACTGGGACTGAGGTAAGACTTGGTAGAAGGAGCAAAGCAGATAAATAATTAAATCTGTACATTCTGAAATCCCCTTCGTAAAATTTTATCTATTCTGGCATAATAATCTGGTGACCTAAGGATTGCCTGCAGTATTATTCTTCTGAGAGAATTGCCATCTTTTTCTTTCCTTCTCCCTTTTGGAGTTTTGAAGTCCCAGCTACTTATTAGGCAGAAGCAATGCTGGTTCACATCTGAAGACAGTGAGTTGTTAATTTCTCTGTTCTACTATACTTTTTCATCTTAGTCCTGCTACTTTACCAATTTTCTAAGTTTTTTCCTGAACAATAACTTCGAACTTTTTTTTTACAGGACCTAACTCCTGGCAGTGTGGAGGAAGCAGAGGAAGCAGAACCTGATGATGAATTCAAGGATGCAATTGAGGTGTGTAGTTTGAGAATCTAGAGTGGTCTGTCCTGAGACAAATAAATCAGTTTACACCTGCCCAATGCTCTCCAGAGATGTTGGACTTTAACTCCAAGTTCTTGGCTGTGCTGTATGTAATTTATAGATATTATAATCCAATGTCTCTGAAGAACACCAGGTTGGGAAAAACTGGAATAAGGAAATATTGATAAGCCAGTGGATTAAATGTGGCATTTGGACCAGGGTATTAGATGAGCCTTATTGGTTGGTTTGTTGATGCTTCTCATTGATTAATATGGAATTATCCATTTGAACGCGTGGCAGATATTAATTTATTGTTGTTGAAATTTCTTTTTCAAATTAATTTGGGATTCCTTGTTGCTTTGATTTTAATTTCTCAATAGTTGCTCAGAATAGAGGTAGAGAAATAAGTGGCTATAATAAGTGCTAAAATAAATTCACCGTTTTTGTTCTAAGGTTAGTGAGAAGTTAGATCGAGTTCTTCATCTATGATGTAAATACAGTACTTCTATATATGTGCAAGTAATAAGAGGGACCTCTAAATAATATGCTGTCCTATAAATAGAAAGGAATGGATTTAAAGACATGATACTGGGATTGGGCTGTACTGTTTTCTGTCTTTTGGCCATCTTCTCTTGTCTTTTGTCTTTGCTGCAAGAACAGGAGACTCAGCTGCTTGTAATGGTGAGTGCAAGAACTGGGCTGCTCTGTCCTGAGCTTGTATTCCCTTTTAGTTTCATTGTTTGTGAATCCTAACATCTTAAGAACCAGTCTATGCTATACTTTTTGTCTGCATCAAATCCCATCTCCTTATCCACTCTTCCAAGTTGAAGGATTACAGGATCCAGTCTGGGTTGGTTACTGGACCAGACCTTTAATCTTCTGAGCTTTTGGACTTGTTCTGGAGCCCCTCCTCAGAGTGCTTTTCTTTCACAAGATGTGTGAGAAAGTTCTGAGAGAGAGAAGTTCCCTGAGAATAGGCCCCAGCATGAGTCCAAAAGCTTGGAAGACTAAACCTCTGGTCCTGGTGACCGATCCAGATTGGATCCTGCAATATTATCCTGGGACACGTATATTCGCCGTCATTCATTTGAGGGTTACTTTTAAAGTTTTTCGGCCATTCCATCCCTTCTCCAGGCTTGGCCCAGCTTTTCCTAATGTTTGAAACTGTTCTTCTGGATTGTACTTTCCAGGATGTCTTTATGCCTTAGAGTTTTTCCCAGACAATATGTATACCGCATTCCTCCTAACCTCTCTTTTGTCTAGGAGGAAGACGACATCTCTCAGGGCTCAGGAGAGTTTGAGCTTGGCCTTCCTGACAGTCCCTTTATGAGCAGGAATGATGTGATTCGTAGCAGGGTGTCACGGTTGACAGAACGACTGCGCAAACGTTATCCAACCAACAACCTTGGTACCGGACTGAAAGGGGAAGGGGTGGAGGGTTACCAGTAGAGGTGCATATTGTTGGGAATTAAGCAGGATTGTTCAAGGGTATAGGCAGAAGAGGAGGCCTGTCCAAAAACTACTGCAGAGGAAATTAGCACTGAGTAATTTTACAGGGGTCATGAAGAAAAATACCATCCTGACCCCAAATGGGTATGCAAAAATATCAGGGCCAAGAAAAAAATAACCTTCAGTGTCGTTTGGTGTAGAGGTGGGCAACCTTTTATTGCCTCTTCCTGGTTTTATTGGTTCCCAACAGGCACAAGAAAGTATGTTTAGCTTTTACCTTATTTAAAGTATGCGTGTGGTTAAGTTTTAAAACAAAAAGGCTACTTTAACTCTCCTTATTTTATCAATTTCCACTACATCCAACTTCATCTTTTCTAAGTTCACCTGCTTTACTAGTTATTTCTTTTAAAAAAGTTGTACCACTAAATTTCACCAGCACTGTATTAGAAACTTGGGGTACACAAAAGGCTGGGTGCTGGGTCCAAAAATGTGTGGATGTAAGATAACGAAGGGAATCAGGGTGTAAAATTGATTTTTAAAATCAAACACAATTTGATTTTAAATTAATTTTAAATTAATGGTAATTCATTATATTTCATTCATTTTTACTTAATCGTGTTCTGGGAAAACAATTCGACCAGAATCACCTAGTAAGGTGAGACATTTTCTACCATCTTCCTCTATTTCAGCTGTTAATAGCTGATGCCCACTACATATTTGGTTCCTCTTGTTTTAAGGCATGAGGAGGGGTGTATTTCACCAATGCTAATTTCCATGTGTATATAGAATTTTTACATTTCTGCACCCGATTCAAGGTTTCGGGTCAAAGAATTGATTTCTCCCCAAAGAAGGAGCATATTTATTCAGTGTTTTGTTTTGGTTGAATCCAGATTTTCTCATATTCAGATTCTTGCATAGGATTCTCATTCTGAAGTTCTTAGCACAAACCGACTCCAGGCGAGGCTGGTTGAATGTGAACGGACTTGATTTTTGTGAGTTACGTATGAATCCAGCCACCAATGGCATGATGGAATTATGGATGAACAAAGGCTTTACTCAGTGGTTGGAAAAAGAAAGGAAGGCTTTCTTGTGGTTTTTGGTTTTGCTTACTAAAAGAAGAAAAGCAGTTATTAGGTGTGATAGCTGCTTGTATCCTTCCGCTCTGTTTCAGGAAACTGTGCAAGCTGTTCTGCCACTTTCTCTGTCTTGAAGAAGAGGGTGAGTCTTTTCTCCAGCCCACCAACTCCCTCCCTGGCCTGTTTCCATTTTCTTCTTCCCCTGCTTCATCCTCTTGTGGATCTCAGACGGAGCTCTGCAGCCTGCTCACTCACTCACTCGTCTCCTTGCCTCTTTTCCTTCTCTAGCGAAGCTGCAGCAACTGTGGGAACAGTTTTTGCTCCAGGTGCTGTTCTTTCAAAATTCCCAAGAGCTACATGGGGGCTACAGGTAAGTGAATAACAACAACAACAACAACAACAACAACAACAAAAAGGAGACGGGGTGCAGGGGAGAGTCATTTAGGTAATAGTCCCATGGGCGAGTCTTTTCCTTTCCCATTGGAGATCAGGGAAATCGTGATTTGCTATAGTGGGAGATAATAGATGGTCTGAAGACGTGACATGCCTGGAAAAAGGGATACTGGTAGTCCTTGACTTACGACAACAATGAGCCTAAAATGTATGTTCTTAAGCGAGACAATTGTTAAGTGAATTTTGCCTCATTTTACAAATTTTCTTGCCACAGTGTGTTAAGTGAATCACGGCAGTTGTTAGGTGAATGTGGCTTCTCCAACAACTTTGCTTGTCAGAAGTTCGCAAAAGGTGATCACATGACCCCGGGACACTGCAGCCGTCATAAGTTTGAGTCAGTTGCCAAACATCTAAATTTTGATTGTGTGACCATAGGGGTGCTGCAGCAGTCGTAAGCGTGAAAAACAGTCGCACGTCACTTTTTCCCCCGTGCCATTGTAACTTTGAATGGTCACTAAATGAACTGTTGTAAGTCGAGGACTACCTGTAGTGAGTGGGAAGCTGCATGAGCTTTGAGTAGCCCTGAAATTTTGATTGGTGTTTCTAATTGCAGCCCCAGATGCCCAGCGAGAGACTGTCTTTGTATGTGGGCAGTGTAACCAAGCACTCACCAAGTGAGGAGCCCATATGGAATCCAATCTTCAGATGAATCTGCTGGGGATCTCACACTACACTAGCTGCTACTTGAAGGGAGACAAGCAACGGCACTGCATCTTTTCTTCCTCCCTATACTTGTAAAAAAAAAAAAGGAGGGCAAGCACATCTAACCTGCTGACTGCTCTGTGTGCTCCTGCTCTCTTCCTTGAAAGCAACTGAGGAGGTCTCTGCAATCCTGGCTGTGTGGAGGATTCTTCATGCACTAAACCAGGGGTCTCCAACCTTGGCAACTTTAAGACTTGTGGACTTTTAACTCCCAGAATTCCTCAGCCAGCTTTGCTCGTTGAGGAATTCTGGGAGTTGAAATCCACAAGTTTTAAAGCTGCCAAGGTTGGAGACCCGTGCACTAAACTACTGTAGGCTTCCTTCCCTTCTCCCAATTCTCCCAAGAGCAAATATTTCTAGTCTGCGGCACCATTTTTTTTTCCTGGAGTTTGGCTGGCAGGAGGTTGGCTGTCCTCATTTTTGAAAGGTCACCCTTGGCACTTGAACTCCTCAAACCTCTCAAAGTGTTTTGCTATTGCTGAGGTGCCATCCCTCTCTTTCTGTGTGTTTGTGTGTTCTGAAATGAAGGCTGGGTCTTTGTTCAGATGATGGTTATAGTTGGCTCTGAGAGCAGGCTTTGCAGGGCCAAGAGGATCAACTGTAGTTGTGCAACCGACGAGGTAGCTGGATCTACTTTTTCTGCCTATTTCAGGTGAGGATAATGTTTCCCTCTCTTTTCTATTTCCATGCCACTGGCTTTATTTTGTTGGTTTTTATCTAAAGCCCCTTTTATCATGATCAGACTAGGATCTGGAAAATGTGTGGTTTTCGGCCCTGCCTTGTTAGAAGGCAGAGGCTGTAGTTAACTAGGGGTTTTGCTAATAGCAAAGCCTAGCTGAAAGTCAGGGAGCTTCCTTAAGAGATAGATCACTTCTACAGAAGTGAGACATGGTTGGTCTATTGCAGAGTAATATATATATTCTACCAATAAGCAAAATCCTTGGGTGTGAAGACAACATTTTTGGAATTTGAGGTAATTTTTATTGCTGTGATGACTATAGGGTCCCTGCTATGGATAAATATTTCTGGAAGAGGAGCATCATTAGGTAGATAGAACAATGGAATATAGCATGGTAGGGACTAAGAGAATGAGAGCAGGACAATACATGATAGGGTGGGTTTCTTCAAAACAGACATATTGTGTCTGTAACATGCTGACGCTAGTGGGATATGAGATGGAGGAATAATATAAGTAATACTAAATGCCAAAAGGAAATGTGTGTGTGTGTGTGGAGTTGACAGTATCTCGGACAGACCCTTTGAGACTCAACCATGGTGAACTATTGGGTAGGCTTGAATGGAAACATAACTGAGAATGTCTTTTGCTTTGGGGACATTAGAAACATAAATACAAAGCCTGGCTGGAAATAGATTCAGAACACTATGCTTTTGACTTTAATATATGAACTCAATCTCCCCATTTTTCACTGTAGAGAGTTATACATGTCATCAAAGTCATTTGGTTTTCCAGTGCTAAAAATATATTGCAGGACTAAATGGAGTCTTACTTTAAGATGTGAAATGACTTTATAAAATCTTCACAGTATGTCAGGCACCCACAACATTTTTGAGTTGCTTGTATCATTTGAGAATGTGTTGTGGATGCTCACAAAAATGATTGCTGGGGCAGAGAAAGGATTTTCTACTGACAGAATGGCTCCAGACTACTGACAGAATAGCTCTTTGCTCCAGACTGTTAGAATACTACCACCACCAACTACCACCCCTGTTTCTCCAAGGACCCCTAGTTCACTTCTACTTCTACTAAGCTTTGTCCTTTTCTGGATAGGTGGCTATCTCCAGGTGGATTTGAAATACAGTATCATTCATATATATATATATATATATATATATATATGATTGGCATTTTTCTTTATGCTAGGTTTCCAATTGTTGTAATGCATTATTTTTTAATATGTAACGTGTGGTGGAACCAGGAGGCTGGTAGCTTCTATGAGAGGAGTCTCTGCAAAGATGGGAGGCCCCAGGAGAAACATGGCTTATAAATTAGATAAAAGATAAAACTTGTTGTTTACTTCCTGCTGTTTTTTAAAATGTCAAAAGCAATGGAGACTTTGGTGTCTGTAAAACTCGTCAGCAGCCATTCAGTTATGTCCGATCCAAGTCCATTCTATGTCTGCAAAACACATTTTGTATAATACTCACCAACATCTTCAAGTGGGTTTCTGAGTTGTTAATTCATAGAAGAGATAAATAGGTTTCTTCATTCCACCTACCAATAAGCATTTAAAAACCAGTCAGCTGCTGTGGAAAGGAGGTCTGTGTAAGTAACAATACAATAGTAATAATATATTACTCCAGATTTTGTACACCACTCATACAATGTTTCTAATAATTTCTCTTATGACTGGTGAAGTATGATTTTTTTTTAACTTGACCAAGTGAGGAATTCCTGCCCCCTCCCCCCAAACCGCACATACACAATTGCACTAGAGTAGATCAATTTACTCTATCCTGATAGTTGTTGCCAAATCCTCTTGCTAAGATAACGTAAAGCTTTTATTACTGTATGTATTGCCACTTTATTGGAAATATAAGACAACAGTTGCTGCTGCTGCAAGACTTGCAGAGAAACTAGTCATGCCAGGTGCTGAATGGGTCAGGGGTCGGGTCAGGACTGTTATAAAGTGAGAGCCTGAGGTCTCAGCCAGCCCCAGGTCATTTTATGTGTGGCCTAATAGCTTTTCTACATTAAAAAATTGTGTCATTTTGTGTATGGCTTTCAAGCTAAGAACTTAAAGGATCATTTGTTAAATAAATTAGCTTGACAAAGCTTGTAGTTCTTCTCCCTTGAATTAGAAAATATTCATTATTTGTAGAGTTGAGGAAAAAATAAACTGCAAATGATCCCCCCCCCGCCCCCTGGAAGTATTTAAGCAAAGATGGGTCTCACATTGGCAGATTTAGTAGATATAAAATGATGTAGGGCAGGGGTGTCAACAGGCAGGATGCGTCATGCACAGGCCATGCCCACCCCAGCTCCACGAATGGGAAAAACGTAATGAAACATCACGTGACGGCAATGTGACGTGGTGAGTTTGACATCCGTGATATAGAGGAACTATAAATCAAAAAATAGAATTTATGGGTGTGCTCAAATTTCACTGGCTGTTTCCTGGGAGTCAGCTTTAAACTTGTTCTTCAGGATAATGGTGGTGTGTGAAAAAAAACATGTAGGATCTTTTTTCTACAACTTATCTTTGGAGAGGTAGAACCCTAACCTTTTAAATGAGTTTGGGTTACATTAGTTTGAGAGAAGAACGAAGAGGTTTTGTTTATAAGAATAGACAAAAGTTCTATCATAAAAGTAATTTAAGAGGATGTTTTGAAGAAGGATGACACAAAGGTAGCCATTGATAGGGAAACTTGAACAAATGGAATCCCAGAGCTGGACAATTCCCTCATGTCAGCAAAACATTTATGCTTCCAACTTTCAAGACTATCTCTGTGTGTGTTTGAGATGATTTTATGAGGAAAAGACTTGCTCTATGTAAGGGGCACACAATGCAGTAGTTGTGAAGCTTAAGTGGAGAAGTGCGTTTTGTCAGTTTTTAACCATCTATTTTCATTTTATTCAATTAGCAAATAGATAATATTCTTGCAAGGAAAAGTACAGATAACATTAGAAGTAATTAAACCTGGAGATTTAGGAACTAAAAGTTCTCATTTATCGAAAATATTGTATCTTTGGTGGCAATCCCACAGATTTTGGCACTACATAATGTCTGGAATACAGTGGAGGATAGAAAATGTTTCTTTTTCAAATTCTATATATAGTGCAAATAATCTACCTATCAGCATTTTTTCTTCTTCCCTCTGCCACCCATTTTTGTTCTAAAACTTCAGAAATGTCCATTTTTTCACCTATAAAAATTCACCTTAGACCAGGGCTGTCAAACTCATGGCCCACGGACTGGATGCGTCACGTGCTAGCCACGCCCATACCTGGTTTGGCAAATGGGGGGAAGTTGTGATATGTCACGTGACGCCACTGTGATAATGCAAGTTTGACACTCCTCCCTTACACAAATATTTTAAAGAGTTATGGCAACAATGTTGGCAGAAGCAACCTTGATATCCACAGTGTATGTGTCATGTAAGACTGTTTGCTCTAGTGGTTAAGGCATAATGCTAGAAACCAGGAGAGTAAGAGTTCTAGTCCCACCTTAGGTATGTGACTTTGAGCCAATCACTCTGGCCCAACCTCATAGGATTGTTGTGGGAAAATAGGACAAAGGAGTATTACATATATTTGCCACCTCGAGTTATTTACAAAATAATAAAGGTGGGATAAAAATAACATTAAATATGTAATTTTGCAGTCTCATATTTTAGAGTTGCCAGGTTGAGATACACTGTTAAAAGTATCTGAAAAGGCTTTTATCCTGTTTGGAAAAGATATTTCTTCCTGTCCACTCTTTTCCCCTGAAAGTTTTGGCTAGAAATAAGTCCGTATGAAAAATATATCTGTGTGCAAGCAGGATCATTCCTTTCCATTTGTTTTAGGCAGTTCTCCTATCTCCCAGCTATGCTAATGCTATATATGCCTTTGTGTGCTCAGCTTGAGGATACAAGGAAAGCAACTTCCCCCTGTTTGCCATCTGGCTGGTGTCCATTCTCTTGGAGGTCTGGCATTCTGCATGGGGGACAGCCACCTGGAAGGCCTGATTGGTTTGGTATCCTTCCTTGAAGGCAAACACAGGAATACTATACTCTGACACATTGCCAGCCTCCAGAATAATATTAGAATTAGTTTCAAAACATATCCAGCAACTTGGCCTTAACATATACGCACATGTTTTAGGGTAGAGCTGCTAATGGCAGGGATGTATGTATGTAAGTGAAATTATGGGTAAAGAATCCCTTTTGCTCAAAACTATTGACTGCCTTTTAGCACCATTTCAAAAAATTGCTCAATCTTTGCTTAAAATTCTATTTGTTTGAGTTGGAGATAAGAAAGCCCAAAATTTGGTCAGGCCCAGTGGAGTCCTAGGTTGAGCAACATGTATTTCTTCAAGCACATGAGAATACAGTTATCTGCCATACTTGGAACCTGATTCCTGGACTGTTGTTAAAGAAATAATGTAATCAATCATTTCAGAGAAGTTTAAAAGAATGTATAAATGAATGGTTCATTAAACATAGATTTCCTGCTCTTAATCTTTATGTATTTCAAGACTTTTTATTAGAATAAAATTAAAATGGAGGAATTAATTTCAAAAGTTCCAAGTTTAATTATATGTTTCCATTAAAATACTGAACAATTCCGATGAAAAGAGGATACACTGGGTATGATGATATTATTCAAAGCCACAAAGGCTTTTTTTATTTGGCAGCTGATGGTATATCGAGGATAAGGAAGTATTTCTGTAAGATCTCTGAAGTCATATGAGTATCAACAACGTGCAGGATTCCTCCGAATATTTTTAATCAAACCCAATTATCCGATGGAAAACAGAATCCTCAGAAAAATGGGCTCTACCAGCTTGTATCTTGATGTCAGCCTGCCCACAGAAAAAGGATATTTATATGGGGGGGGGGGGGATTCAGTGGGGGTCTGATCCATAAAATAATGGATAGTGCAAGGAACATGGATAAGAGAACATGAACTTAACGGCAAATTTCATTTCCTTGTTCTTCTTCTCCCAGCGATAAATGGCCAAGACTAACAGTCTCCCACCCACTTTTCGGCCCATGACCAGAAAGCTGCCACTGAGATCATCAAGCTGAGGGCAAGGACATGTGCCTGCATTCTTCATATACAGTACCAGCTTTTTGGTGTCCTTGCGTTTCAGTGGCCCCACTTTGAGCAGTTTTTTTTTCTTTTGAGTGGCCACTAATCGCCTCTCCCCGTTTTCCTTTTTGATCTCCTTGATGCGCATCTTCACCACTGTGGAAGAGAGGATAGATCATAAATTGCCTTAAGACATTACAAATTAAGGAGGGAAGTCAGTGAAAGAAGAAGTAGAGAAGTAGATAGAATTGTAAATATGCAAAGTATGGTGTTGATGAGTATAGTCCCTTTGATTTTAAGGTTCAGAATTGACTTTTAAAATGTTGGCAGAGGAAGACCAAAGATAGATGGCGGGTAAGCTGAAGCTGCAGAATAAATGGGAGTGATTTACTCAGCCCTTGCCACATTATCCTACTGGCTACTTTTTTGCACATGACAGATGTGTATTTGTTTCAAGGCCCAGCTACCAGATTTTTAGCTATGTCACATTGGTCATCCCTGAAGTCCATTATTGTTTCAGTAGTGAGCGTATCTGGAAAAGGTACAGATCATCCTTTTTTTTTAACAGTATGAATTCAGGGGTTTTTTATCATTGAAAACTTTATAGAGCACAACAGCATTAAATGCAGATATAGCATTTATGGGAATTACTGCAGTTATAGTGATATACCACCAATTCCATCTTGATTTTCCCATGTGAGGGAGTTCTTTGGGTGACTTAGCACAGGTTGTTTCTTATAGAATACCACATATGAATGGACGTTCCAAAAGGCACAAGAACTGGATCATCCAAAATGAATGAGCAAATTTGAATTTAGTTATGTGGGGGGAAATGTGCTACCTTGAGAGGAGCTTGTTACTATGTGCAACCTGGAAATAAAGGAAGGTTAGGTATTGATTTATGACAACTTTTGGGGAAAACCCTGGGGGGAAAAATAAGGTAATGCTATAAATTGTGTTTTTGAAGGGAAATATTTAAAAAAGCCATTTCAGTTTGGGGGAAACATAACTGGTGCTCATCTCTGAATCAAATGAAGTAGAATTCAAGATTGACAACCTTAAATGTGACACCTGAAGTAGAATACCCTGCAAGCCCATCTCTATCTCCAACCTCGCCTGTGGTAACTTGCTTTCCTTTTATGGCACACAATTGCCCTCATGAAGCAGCTGCCTTTGTCTGGGTAGGTCTAGCTTCTCTGAGGATGTGAAAATGAATGTGAAACGTATTGTATTCTGCATCAGAGTAAACTCTTCTGCTGCTGGTATCATCTTGTCTCCTATACAGTAGATCCTTGACAAGGAAAATCTGCCATATTTAAGCACGGCTATTTTCAGTCTTCTGTTTGCTTACACTGATTACTCTAAGTATCTGGTTGATCTGATCTTTTGAAGAACTGAACTATAACTACATAAATATTTTATAATGATTATTTTTAAAATGTATACCTTGGCTTTTCTACAAGGACTATTCAAGGCAACAAATAAATGGTACACCCTTTTAAATGAAGCACTACAAAATTAACAAAAGAAAAAAATAAAAAGTACTGGAAATTCTTTAATAATTATAGGGAAATATAACACTATTCCTTATTATTAGTGCCTGGAGATTGTCTTCAAAAAATGAATTCTGATCAGGTTGTTATTAAAACTTTGTTTTTAAAATGTAAGAATATTCAAGGGTTTGGAAAGATATAACTCTGGCAGTCCTAAATGACAAGACTGCTTAGAAATGTGAGAAAATATCCTAATTTAATCTATTGAGAGATGAGATGGGTTCAGAGTGACAAAGATTTTTTCTTGGAGTCATAATTTAGGGCTACTGTGAGTCAAAAAAAAAATCACACTGATTTGATCCCAGAAACAACCTGGAAGCTGCTGAAGGATCTGATTGAAAATAGGTGGAGTTCAAGCAGGGAAAAGGAAGTAAGAATAATAAATATTTAACATATTCCCAACAGCTGCTTATCCCAGATCTCTGCTGTTGTTTTGTGTGTATGATTTACCAAAGTCACTGGAACACATCTGCTCCATGATGCCATCCGCTTTGTGTTCCATCTCGCACTGGGTGCAAATCTTTGACACTGTAAGATGGAAAAAATGAATGTGAGCTTAGAAAAATCGGGCATATTTAGCATTGTGCCATATATATATATTCCTGTCTGTTTTCATAGGCAATTGATTTCAAGTGATTTCCTAATTTCCTTGCCTTGTTATGAACTTTTTAATTATCCTGAAATATCTTGAACAAATAAAAAACCATTTCAGTATAGTTACTGATCTATATTTTTTTAACATGTTAATGGGGATGATTAAATAGATGTGGAATAATCATGTTTATATGAAATATAAGTTTAATCAAATTTAATTTTTACCTGCCTCTCCCATACCTTTCCACTGCAGCCCCCAGCATTCTACGCAATGGTCAAGTGAGACCAAGACAGCAGGAAAGGGAAACATGTTCACGAACGTATCTCTTAATGGGATGCATTATTAGAGCATTGTTCTCTAGCGGTTACTCTGGATCCTACATGGGGATTGAATTCTATCAACATCCATGAAGATCTGCACAATTACTACATTAGTATGCATTTAAAGAAAGGGAAAGAGGAAAGTGAGAAAAAAAGGCAATAAAGGGCAAAGAATTTTTTTCCCCACAAAAAAAACCAAGTAGGTCTAGTTTTCTTCCAATTTATTAAACTGGAGAGGCTAAGGCTCTTACTGTTATATGAGTATTAAAATACAAGAAATGTGACAACTTTCTTTTTAATTCAGATAAAGACATAATTAAAGTTGGACCCATACTGTGAGTTTGAATTAAAGATATATCCTGGATATGTAAAATACATTGCATGATTATTTCTTTAGCCTTTTTGTTACTTTCTGGACTCGGCATCAAACACCAAACATGACTTGCTTTCTACACGGGCATGTAAAGAACTTTACTAGCAAGGAGCTCTTTGCCAAACATTATACTTAATCAAGTAATTGACCAAAAATGATAGAAAGGACAGAATAAAATCTGTACTGCCCTTTTGAAGCATGCAGAGAGAAACCCCATTAGAAGGCATTATTAGCTGTTCCTAAGTATCCAATGGGATGGGAGTCAGTGGATATGATCTCCAAATAAATTTCATATTAAGTTTCCATGAGAAATTTTGGATTTGGGCCAAATCCCCCCTATACTGGCAGCACTTATACCTCATTCCAACTGGGAAGAGTGACGTTGTGGAATCCTTGGTGCTCTATGAGTTCCTGTCTGTTCAAATAAAGACATCCTTCAGCCACCACAAAATAGGCAAGGGGGGCAGTTGCTTTTGTGGATGATTATTAAAATTCTACCTGACTGATTGGGGTTAGTGTCCTTAGAGTGAATTGGGGTGTAGGAGTTTACTCAAACATTCCTGAATGGCTGTGGTATCTTGTGGATATAAGAGACAGAAAATGAAAAGACAGGCAGTATATCTAGGGAAACTTAATTTTTGCAGGCAATGATTTTGAGTCTGTTCCTATTCAAGCCAGAGAATTTTTTTTTTTTGCCATCTTGTTTACAGGACACAGCTGATGGGGACTGGGGTAAGTGGGGGAGGGGAGCTCATGCAGAATCTGCTTCAGACTTGTCTTAGACAAAGAACACACCCCTGTAACTTTTGTACCCAGTGTCAAGGTTTAGTTATTAACATAGGACTGGTGTATGTACACGAGAGACAGACAGATTAGTGCTGGTGTTTCAAAATCATCCATTTTAATATTCCTCTATTTTCCTGCTGGGTTTTTTTTTCTCTTGCTATTAAAAAAAATGAAAGAGGGAAAATAAAAGTTTGTTGATGGAAGCACTCTGAATCATTTCTGGCTGTCTTAGGGATCAGGCACAGGTTGTACAGCAGAGCAATTCTGAAATGAAAGGACCTGGAGCTAAAAGCTGTGCTGGCAGTATTTTTCAGCCTTGGCAACTTGTAGAGATGTGGACTTCAACTCCCAGAATAGTCAAGATTGAGAAACACTATGTACTGGAGTTTGGCTCTAAGGCCAGGGTTGTGGAAATAAACTCGTCTATATGTTTTGCCTCCATATCTGTCTATGGAGATTCTCATCATCCAGATCATGGTTGTCCCAAAGGTGCTTTTTCAACAGGCAACTGGACTTTCTGGGTTTAAAAAAAAAACATTTCACTTCTCATCCAAGAAGCTTCTTCAGCTCTCAGCTCCATAAGTACTTTTGATTACATTCACAAGCCTTTTTGTGGAAAATAATACTTCCCAGATTCCAGATGTAGACTGGTTCTTACCAGGTCCAGATTTGGTGCTCACCAAGACCAGGTGAGGAAAAAAAAAGAGTGTCTCTGTTCTTTTTCCAGCTTGCTCTATGATCGGAATACTTCTGAAATTAGCCTGGGTTCTCTTTTGATCAAACCGTGCCTCCAGCTGGCTGCTGTGCCAAAGAATTTGCAAACAACTGCTTGTAGATAGCAGATGTGCATGCCTGGGTGTGGGCAAACATTTGTTGGTTTTAGTTCTAAAATCTCTGTGTATCCACCTCTCCCCTATTGC